GAGCCGTGTCTGGGGGTGCCCCGTATTCCTACCACAGGGGGAAGCCCTTCCATTTCGAGGGAATCACAATACCGGCGGCGGGCCCGGCTGCAGGCCAGAGATGGGAGCTGGAGAGCTACAGCAGGGGCCCCGGGATTAGAAATGCGGCATTTTAGCCCCGCTCTGTCGGGGGCCCGTCCGAGAGACTCGCCCAGCCGTCTGCCCGGGGATCGCCCCAGCCGAGCGCTCGCCCCGGTGCCGAGGGAGAGCCTGGGGCACGAGCAGATTTGGCCACTCAACCGGGCGAGGGCCTTCTGCTTTGCCCTGGTCCGTGGCAGGGGATGCCCCACACAGAGGCTGGCTTTCCCCCAGTCAATGGCACTGGCCTGACGCAGACGGGCCATTCCACCCCGTCCCCGCTGTCTGTGGGGGCAGTAACTTCACCCCTGGCCCTACTCCGGGATGGGCAAGGATTTCTGAAGTGGACCCGGGCTGCCCAGAAGGGGCGGGGCCTAAACCGGAAGGGGTGGGGCCAGGATGCTTCTGGGCTACCCCACCCACAGACCATGCTTGGTCAGGGGCTGGGGGAGCCCCTTTTCCCCCAGTTCCCACTAGGCACCCATGCCCCCGGCAGGGCGAAGGAAGCTCCGCACAGCTCTCCTGGCCCCAGGCCCTAAGTGGAAGGCTGGATCCGGCCCACGGAGGCCCTCTTGCCCACCCCTAACCCATAAGAACGTCCGAACGGCCAGGCTGGGTCAGAGCAAAGGTCCATCCAGCCCAGCGTCCTGTCTGCCGACAGCGGCCAGTGCCAGGAGCCCCAGAGAGGATGAACAGAACAGGGGATCCTCGCATGATCCCTCCCCTGTCACCCATTTCCAGCTTCTGACAAACCGAGGCTAGAGACACCATCTCTGCCCATCCTGGCTACTAGCCATTGATTGACCTCCCTGAATCTATCTAGCACTTTTTTTGAACTATGTTAAAGTCCTGGTCTTCACCACATCCTCCGGCGAGGAGTTCCACAGGTTGTCCATGCGTTGTAAGAAGAAAAACTTCCTTTTGTTTGTTTTAAACCTGCTACTTATTCGTTTCACTGAGTGACCCCTAGTTCTTATCTTGTGGGAACAAGTAAATAACGTTTCCCTATTCGCTTTCTCCATACCTGTCATTATTTTATAGACCTCTATCCGACCTCTCCTTTGTCTCCTCTTTTCTGAATGGAAAAGTCCCAGTCTTTTTTATCTATCTTCATATGGGACCCGTTCCAGACCCGAATCGTTTTTGTTGCCCTTTTCGGAACCTTTTCCAAGGCCAAGAAATCTTTTTGGAGAGGAGGCGATCGCATCTGTACGCCGGATTCGAGACGTGGGCGTACCATGGATTTATATAGAGGGAATAAGTGATTCTCTGTCTTATTCTCTAGCCATTTCTTAACCCCTGCTCCCACATTCCCCTCGCAGTCCACTTCTCCCCCCACCGGGCCCACTTCCTTCCGCTCTGCATGGGAGGCCCTCACCCAACCATCTAGCAGGCCCTGCCCTGTCTCTGCCTGCCCCCTTCTCTAGGGGGGCGGTGAGAAAGTGCCGCTGGGTGGCGAGTCTGATTCTCTGTCTTATTCTCTAGCCATTTCTTAACCCCTGCTCCCACATTCCCCTCGCAGTCCACTTCTCCCCCCACCGGGCCCACTTCCTTCCGCTCTGCATGGGAGGCCCTCACCCAACCATCTAGCAGGCCCTGCCCTGTCTCTGCCTGCCCCCTTCTCTAGGGGGGCGGTGAGAAAGTGCCGCTGGGTGGCGAGTCTGGAGGGGGCAGCTGTGCCTGAGGCCCCCCCCCACACCCGTGGCACGCCCTACACAGGCCGGGCAGCGGGTCAGCTCCCAACAGCCCGCCGGGGTC